TAAGAGACAGCAGACAGATAGATAGATAGATAATTTAGTTTATTGTCCTCCTCGTACAAAATACTAAAGGAAATTAATACTTTGTAAATTTTCAGTAAAATAATAACATATGAAACATTTGATTAAATTGCTTCCTTTACTTTCCTCACAGGACGGAATACAAATCTCACATTACTTTCAGTAAACTTTAATTTGTCAAGTATCAGCTGTGCAAATTTCATGTACATGTGTGTGGAGGTATCTCGCAATGATGCAGCATATCCATCCTTCTCACTTCAAGGTTTACCAACAGGCGATGCGCTTGTAGGATGTGCTGAAATTGAATGTATCGGTGGGTAGCTTTTGAGAAATGTGGAAAGGCAGATGATAAATAATAATCTACCAAACCTGAAAATCCTAGGCCTAGAATCTTAGACACAAGCCTAGATTATTATTTCAAAATGAAATGTATATAAAAACTTGGTTTAAAACAAACAATTGATAATACTAAAATAACAGTATCAAAGTATTTAAAAATTTTAAGACAAAAGGGTACTTTTATTATCGTCTCACCAACCACGCATCTTAATTATGGGGAGGCCTGATATTGTGTACTATCTAAATTGCATATTATTACAATTTTTATTTTCATTCTGTATATTTCTTTTTTATTTGTTTCTTTGAAAAGGTACCTGTTTGAATAACGCATGTTTAAATGGTGGAAAATGTCTTGATATTAATGGAACGGTTAAATGCAACTGTCCATTATTTTATAGTGGAGATTTATGTGAAAATATCCCAGGTAAGTACATTTATGGTGGAATCCATTTTATTGAGCTCCTCAATTATAGTAAGGTGTTTGTCAATTTTTAAATATTAAGACAGCTCTATAGTTAATCCTTGCACCAGATTCCATCCAAATGATTAATAATGATATGATTGGATGGGATTGGATTTATTCGGTGTAAACACCAAGGATAGCCCACGAAAGTCTAGAAGAGGACTTATTTCTAGTGGAGTCCTTCTGGTGGTGATTGGGCAGTACACCGGGAGACAATCCCCTACTATTTTCTTAAGAGTGTACTGCGTTCTTTAAGTGCATATGTGCCATAAATGCACACGGGACCAACGAAAGACGGTGCGCTATTGTAGGAGAGGAGGCAGCGATAGGAATTAAACCGGGGACCTAAAGATCTCCATGGTTCAGCACACACACACACACACACACACATGTCTACCACAAGATAAGCCGGCTGAGCTAAGTTGCTGCTGCTGCTCATGATGATTATGATTATTATTATTATTATTATTATTATTATTATTATTATTATTATTATTATTATTATTATTATTATTATTTATACTTTTCCCAGGTCCTGCAAAGTTCTCAGTCAAACCCATTTCAATAAAAGCTAAACTTTATGATGCAGTTAACCTTACTTGTGATGTGTCTTATTCAAATGACTGGCAGTGGTATAAAGATGATGTCCCACTTTCATATACGAACAAAAAATATCTTGTAACAGTTACAGCAACAATTGAAAATCAAGGTTACTATTCTTGTAGTGGATTTGGAGCAGGACCTTACACTAGTGCACTATTTGAATCAAACATGGTTCTGTTAGTTATAAAAGGTAAGTGTTTTCATATATTATTTAACAGCTAGACATTTTAAACATTTTTTGAGAAGCTCATTTTTGTTTTGTTTTTGGTTCTTCGATGATGTTTTCAAATACAGGATTTGTCTGTAATTATTCATTATGTGACTAGACAGTGAGCCTACTTGTATGTTCCTAAAGAGCCGATATAATGTGTAGGCCAACACACATAGTTCATGAAGTTTTTTTTTTATAACCAAATGTACTGGCCTACAGCCTCAGCCACACATAGAAAAAAAGTAAGAAAATCTGTCGGTAAATCATAAATATTATGCTTCCATTTCCATTTCATATACAGTAGCGTACATTATTTGTTGATTTTTTCTGTATGCTTATCAAGACATACCCAGTTACATATGTTTGTGTTGAGCAATAATATTGTTCATATAAGGGTTGTTTAATGCTCAAAACAATGCTTAATAATTATGTTTATAAAAAGGTTGGTAATCTAGAAACATTTAATAACATCAATTTCCTTATTTTTAACATTTTTTTCTTTGTTTTTTATTACAAAACATTTCATCATAATTTGTTCCTAACCAACACAGATATTTATATATTTCCTGCGTCTTTGACATTTAATCGTGACTTTCAAGAAGATCTTAATGATCCATCATCGACAGCTTTCAAAAATCAGTCATCTGATATTACTGATTTTGTAAGTGTAGTAAAACGTTTACAGCACATTTTGCATACTAACATATTTTATTAGAATAGAAATACTCAGTTTAATCGTAATAAAGAAGAAACTAAATTATATTTTGTAATAAATTATAACTGATAATTAAAAATTCACTGATATTATCTAACTAATATGTATGGTATAATGTAATGCGCCCAAGATACCTAAACTAATTTTTTTAAACAATTACTGCCAGATAAGTAATTTGATTGTGTTCATGGGATTCAGAAAAGCTTTGACAAGTTCATATTCAATCCGACTTTTAGATAATAAACTTAAAAGTCTTTTCACCTTTTTCTTTTTTGTATTTTGTAAGACGCATCAGTGATTGTGAGTGCCACCGAAACGAAGGTGAAGTGTCATAAGTAAACAAATAAAATGAACTTGTCTAATAAAACAAAAAAAAAAGTTTACTTACAATACACAACAAAACGGAAAAGTGGATGTATTTTTAAATAAGTTTAAATGTTATGCAGATTGTAAAACGTAAGAGTAGCGGAGGGATCAATGCATTAGCTGTAGATTCACATCACATACTGAAAAACAATTGCCTATTATTGCACATACTATAGCCTTAATTGCATGGCAGAATATAACTATAAACTTTGTGTCGGAACTGTATTTACAAAATGCTCATATTCATTTATGCTTATCTTCCAGTTCAGCAGCAGTCTGTCATTAAATGATGAGATAATAATACAAGTACGTAGCTTCTCTCCTGGTAGTATAATTGCTTATGTCAATTTCAACGTGCTAAACACAAACATTTCTTATGATGAATTTTTGGAAATTCTAACCCAAGAAGTAATCAGAATCGGGGAAAACTCAGATGGATATTTGTTTCCTGATAGCATCGTGATAAGCAGCACAGGTACATAATATCTATTGTGTTCTACAGACACACACACACACACACCCACACCCACACACACACATATGTATATATATACATATATATATATTATATATATACATATATATGTATATATATGTATATGTATGTATATATGTATGTATATATGTGTATATATATACATACATATATATATACATATGTATATATATATATGTATATATATATATGTATGTATTATTAACTGTACATAGATGGGAGTCTATAACGCACGTTTCACACTATCACGATCTTCAGATAGACTTATTGTTAGCACATACTACTCTCCTACCAAATGTGTTTTGCATATTAGCCGCGATCAGGTGGAAATTTTGTGTGCCTACATTTAGATACCAGTTCTGACCTTTTATTAAATAGGATTGTCTTATTAGCCTAAAGGATAGCTAATTTTTCGTCCATGCAAAGTTTGCAATTACCAAACGCTGCGCTTTTTACGGATGAGCGCTTTACTATGTTCCACTCTATTTTAAATTTGGTATTCTCATTATTTAGTTTCCACACATATTTAGAAAATTCAGATTCCTTTTCATAAAATAGAGTGGAACATAGTAAAGCGCTCTTCCATAAAAAGCTCAGCGTTTGGTAATTGCAAACTTTGCATGTAAGAGAGTAGTATGTGCTAACAATAAGTCTATCTGAGGATCGTGATGGTGTGAAACGTGCGTTATAGACTCCCATCCATTTATGTACAGTTAATAATATTTTGCTCTTACGGTTTTCAATTTTATAATAGAGCACTCTCTCGCATGGGATGTACTTACCTAATTCAAGTCATATATATATGTATGTATGTATATGTATATATATAAATATATATATATATATTTTTTTTTATTTTATTTTATTATATATACATACATTTTTTTCTATCATTCTTTACTCAGTGACAAAAGAATGTATACACAAAACCCAGAACATGGTTTAGGAGTTAATAAATATATGCAGGGTAAGAAAAAACATTGACAAAAAAAAATTATTCTGCTAAGAAGGGGCAGTTTTCCCAGGTTTTGCTGTTGCGGGCATTCGAAATAGCTGTGTAGCTGCTAAGGAGAGCCAGTTGACTTAGTTTCTTCATGAGAGGTTTAATCTGTTTCGCGCCAAGTTAAAGGTAGACTTAAGTCAATTATATATATATATATATATATATATATATATATATATATATTGTACTCCAAAATACTGTATGTTTTTTTTTAATTTGAATAGAAAGATTCATATTGAATTTTATTTTGTTTTCAGAATATGTCGTATTACAAGAAACGTCCTATGGTTGCACGCGGTAAGGTACTTTGTAATACATACAGTTGTTTCGATTTGCATTCCCATCCATTTAAAAATAAAAATAATAATAGTATGTAATATATATATATAATAAACAGGTATTTAATTTATATATATATATATATACTTATATATATACTTATATATATATATATATATATTGTCTTTAAATAGAAATGTGTTACAAAGAAAACTATGATGGCTACACATTCCCTGATGCAAGAGTTGGAGAGACTGTAGATTCAGAAGAATTTTGTGATGTGCATTGTAAGTTTAAAGTATTGCTCTTTAATACTCTTTAATTAAATAGTAATACATTTACCAGTTGCTGTATTTGCATATACATCTCCCGACGGTTGCATACCCCATATTCTAAAAAATAATATATTAACTACTTGTACCCTGTATCAATTCATTATAGGCCTAATGAATAATTTAGCCTTTCTCACACAGAAATGCTTGGTGGGACCATTTGTGTATAATACCCTCATGGTCTAACAAATGTCAATATTCCTACAATTAGATCTCCTTCCTCGCGCTACACGAACTTGTGATGGCGATGGATTTAGTGCAGCCAAATGGAACATTCCCGTAATGACGGACTGCGGAAATGATGTTACAACAGAACAACAGTTAGAACGTCTAAATATGGTAATGGTCAAAATCTTGTAGTAACACATTAATAAGTGTAAATCCATATCATTAATGATAAAAAATAAGAATATAATGCAGTTACTGATAAAGCTAGATTTTGAGAAGGATGATGATAATGATGACATGTTGTTGTTGATGATGATGATGATGATGATGATGATGAAATAGCTGTAATAGTAGTAGCAGCATTAAAAGCAATAGTAGTGGTGGTAGCTGCAACCTCGGCGGCATCCATTTTTGTATTGAACAACATCAGCGGTGGCAGAGACGATAGTAGCAGCAACAACATCAGCATTAGTAGTATAAGCATAGGACTATTGAGTCCTAAACGTATTTGATAATAATATGGTATTAATGATAACAATGATGACAAGAAGAACAGCAACGAAAAGGAAGTTGATAAGGCCCCATGAAAAAAAAAATTATTAGTTTATCACCCCCTCCCTCGTCACTTTTGGGGAAATTCTGATTTTTTTTTTTTTTTTTTTTTTTTCAAGCAACATATATTTTAATTTAAACGGTCGTTCTTCCATCTTTTTTACTTGGGAAGCTCAAGATTTCTTTTAAATATGTTTACTGGTACAACAAAACATATTTTTTAAATATAAATTTGATTCCATTCTTATGACTTTTATATATGTGTCCCTAACCATTAATTTACTTGAGAACATCGGTAAAATGGGGGCGGGGTTAGCAAAAAAAAAATAATCCCTGCCTCATCAGTTTTTATTCTTTGATAGGGGGATAAACTAATATTTTTAATGAAGTCTAAAACACTCACTTCAGCAGTTAAAATTATTGCTGAGGTAACTCGATTGGCTTAGATCAGGATCAAGTTAGTAGGTTCATTATGATGTGTATTTTGTGTAATATCTGTGTATCTTGTGTAAATATGATATTTTTTAAACATGTTTTGTCATTTTTTTTATTCTTGTTTGTTTAGATAAATGTCACCATAGATAATGTTGAAGATGTGAGCAACAATGTACAAGACATTACAAGTAATACTGAAGGAATTACTGTGGAAGCTTTAGAATATACCGCTGAAATATTGACAGATATACTCCAAACAAATTCGAATTCTTCTGAGGTATTTGCAGGAATCATATGTATGTGTGTAGGGGTGTATGTGTGGTTGCGTGTATTTATGCATATATATATATATATATATTATATATATGTATATATATATATGTATATATATATTTGGATATATATATTTGTATATTTATATATATATAC